TCAACTGAGCATGCTATAAGAGTGGGTAAAGCTTGGCATTGTGAAGATCAGGATCCACGCTTTACTGCCCAGAAAAGCGTACCTCGTGGGCAGCAATTTACCAGTTCCCCAGAAGTGGACTTCTCTCTGCTTTGGTCTTCCCAGTTCCACTCCCTTTCCAATAGGCCTACCATGGATGTCCTAAATATCTGGAAATACTCTGTGAGTCATTGCATGGCCTCCTGTAGTGACACAAGTATGGCTTCATTGAATTTAGACAAAAAGGATCCCTGCATTAATTTGGAAGATAAAAAATAAGGATCTGCAGGGTTTTATATTTTGCCTTATACATACAACTCTCCTCTGCAGGGTGTACTAAAGATGGGAAAATTATGATACTGTTATCAAGCTGTTGAAAACAGTTTGTCCACCCAGATGGGCCCTGATTTAAAAGACAGGCACACCTGGTCTGGTTCCCAGGAGCCAGCTCTGCAGTTCTCACAGCTGGTGTCGCACAAGCACAAAAGGTGAGGCATAAGCCAATTAATAACTTGCGTGATTCCAGACTGGCTCTATCCCGATGGCTATCTCTAGATTCATAATTGCACACCCTCAGGAGACTCCTTTCTTCTTAAATATCAAACCAAGGGACTTGCTGCAAGGCAGACAACAAGGTAGAGGTCTAATGGTAGGCTCCAACCCACCACAGATTGTATATTTCAAAAGTTGGAGTGAAATTCCAAAGTCGGATTGGTTTTTCTGTATTTCGAAAATCTTAGAAATCCTGACAATGGAACTATCTGATACTTTGGGCCTTCTGAACACAACTGAAAATTTACTTTGGTGTCAAAGAGAAAAATTTCACAGGAAGTCGATTTTTACATGACATCAGAATAGGATGAGACAGAGGGTCCTAGGTCAGAGATCACTAGGGCTTGTAATTGTTTTATCATGAACACCCCCAAATCCTCATGTCTCCTGTATTTTCTTGTCTCCTTGTAAAGCAAGCTCTCCACACAGAAAGTGGTGGAGATTTTGAGAGCAATTCTTTCACTGTTCCCTCTTTACTGTAGTTTTCTCTCTCTCTTTTTTTTTTTTTTTTTTTGGGGGGGCTTTTGTTTAGGGGGCGGTGGCGTGCGCTCGCCAGACAGACAGAGAGAGACAGAGAGATAGAAAGCGAGAAATCACCGCCCCCCCCCTGGGGGGGGGTGGCCACACCGCAATCCCTTCTCCTCCATTCTCATCTTGGGATCTTGGGCATGCACGCACACACGCCCGGTGTGAGTTTAAGCCACTGGGTCCAGAACATGAACCATGGTCGACTACGTGGGAGTCCAGCGACATAGCCATTATGCTAACTGCTGGTCCCTGTAGTTTTCTCTTTTTCAGGACCCTGTACTGGACTTCTGCTTCCAGCCCATCTCTCAAATGTACCATACCACCTTCTTTTTACTTTCTTGAAAAAAGGTTGGGTAGAACTAGACAAATACATTTATTTTTCTTCTTGGTTTTCACTTTTAAGGATATTGCTCCAGCAAATTTTAATTAGAAAGTTGAACAGGTTTGATGAAATTAGTTGTTAGCTGCCTAGACTTCTACACTTGTTCTTGGAACATCTGAGCATTAGCATTTTTCAAACTTTCTAAAGGTAATGTTTTCGGCAGCAGAAACATGAAGCGGCATTACTTCTGAGAAAAGGCCTCTGCCTGACATCTGTACATAATTTTAGATGGACCCTAAAGGAAACAATCTAACAAAACTAAAGATATTCAGAGTCAAAAAAATGTAATCTAGTGTAAAGCAGTCATTTTTGAGGAAAGAAAATAGAAAACTGAAACAAATTGATTGACTACAACAGATGCTGTTGCTTGTTCTCCTTCACTTTCTGCCCCTCTTAACTAGCTGGGTGCATGCCCACCTGAATCCAGCCTGCATGCTCCAGCCTCCCTTGCAGCTACATATGGTTACATGTAGCTTTGTTCCTTTTACCCAATAAATGTAAACATAGAATGACTTGTTCTGCTTGTTCAATATTTAGCAAGTAAGATGTGTTGACTATCTGGAAGAGTCTTTCTCCTCTTTCTCCTTCCTGTTGGCTGAAACACTGACGTGATGGGGGTCAGTGGCAGCCATCTTGGACCATGAGTTGGATACCACTGCCCTCTGGTGTGTTTAGAGATGGTAGAGCAACAAGGCAGAAGGACCCAGGAGGGTCTCTGAAACAGAGTTCTAGGATTGCCTTTAGTTGTCTAGAAGATGACATATGTCTTTAAGCGTGAGAGAAATAGATGTCTTTGTTTAAGTGATTGCTATTTTGAATTTTTGTGTTACTGTCAGTCAAACCTACTCTAAACTGCTGTAACGGTAGTCTTGAAAGTGATTAAGTTGATTAGCAATGTCTTGATGGAGGAGGGCAAGATTGGTGATGGACCAGGCCCATTATAAAGCTAAGAGAGAAAACACTTCACAGATTCTATGTCAGGGGTTCCAATGCTGATCTCCAAATAGCAGCATCAGAATTATCTTGGCAGAAGTTCCCAAAAATCCAGATTCCTAGCTCCCCTTCTTAGAGATTTTGATTTAGTAGGTATTCTGTGGGATCGAAGACTGAGATTATTAAAAAACGCCCAAGTAAGGGCCAGCATATGGCGTGGTGATCAAAGTGCTGGACTTCTACAATGCTAACCATGGTTCAAGTCCTGGATCCAGTGGCTTGAAATTCACACTAAGTCCATGTGCTTGCATGCCAAAAATCCCAGGAGAAGAATAGAGAAGAGACTGTGGTGTGGCCATTCCCCCAGGGGGTGATTTCTCACTTTCCCTCTCACTGTCTCTCTGTCTCTTTGATGAACACATGTGCCCTATGGCAAACAAACTTACAAACAAAAAACTAAAAAAATCCCAAACAAAACAAAACAAAAACCTCTAACTCCCCCCCCCCACTAAAAAAACCACCAACCTCCCTCGTAATTC